GAGNGNGNGNGGAGNGGAGGGAGGGGGGGGGGGCGGAAGAGGAGGAAGGGCATTCAGGCGAAACTGCGATCAGAGCTCCGCTATTGTGGCCGGCGCCAGGGCTGAACGGACCGGACCAAGCCGACAGACACGCACCTGGAGCAGCTCGTTGCGACAGAGGGCGTTGTCGGCTACGCCGAGGTTGACGATGCCGTTGGGGTTGGTCTCCGGGTCAAAGAGGTCGCGCATCAGCTCAAAAATGGCCTCGACCTTTTCGTTGATGAACGACGCATTCTGGCGGCCGCGCCCGGACAGCGTCGAGTTCGAGTTCGAGTTCGAGCTCGACTGCGGCGATTCGGATGGGCCGTCGGCGATGTCGAGGTCGCGCAGGCCGCCCGTTAGCGTGTCGCGGGCGAGCGAGACGGACGCCGGATCGGTCGTCATGGTGCGTTGCGGTGCGGTGCGGTGCGGTGATCTGTGGCGTTCCTTGGGGCGAGGGAACGAAAGGCGTGCGGGGGAGCAGGGCAGGTGGTGGGAAAGAGGAAACAACGCCCGGGGGGAAGCCTGGTCGAGAGCGACGACGTCGAAAAGGCAGGCAGGCGGTCGACGACGGTTGCGCCCCACGACTACTCGATTTTTGACGTCGACGTCGGCGGAAGGCTCTTGCCGGTTCGTGTGGAGGGGAGGCCCGAAACGCGGGGCGGCGGCAGGGCAGCGCAGATGAACAGCAGGCGGGGTCGTCCGTGCGGAGAAGGGCGGCAGCTGCCTGTCCCCGCGGGTCGGCGGCCGCCTTCCGGAGCTCCCCTTCCTCCCCTTCCTCCGCTTCCTCCCCTTCCTCCCCTTCCTCCCCTTCCGTTCCCTCACTCACCCACCTGTCCCACGCGCGCTTCCATCCGCCACTCTGCCCGCCATCCGTCACTTGTCTGCCCACAGCGCGCCGTTTGGACTGCATCAACCGTACCCGCGATTGGATCGGACCACGTACCGCTGCCGCCCGCCCCCCATTCGGATTTACCGCTGCCTCGGATGCACCGCCTCTACGCCCGCCCTGCTGCTGCTGCGGCGACGGCGGCCGCTCGCGCTCGGGTGGCCCGCGTGCCCTGCCCAGCTGCTTTGACCGGATCGCTTCCCCTGCATCGCATCCAGCCAGCATCGCCACGCCCCCTGTCGTCGGCGGCCGCCGCTCGAGATGCTGGCAGGTCGTCGTCGCTCCGGCCAAGCGGATTGGACCCTACCAGGAGCAGGCTCAGCTCGGCCGGCGACGCCAACGCAGCCTCCAGCCACGGCAGCGACAACGACAACGGCACCCGCATCAGACCGAGGCGGAGCATGTTGTACGTGCCCGGATCTTCCGAAAAGATGATCAAAAAGGTCAGTGGCTGTGTACGATACCTCGCGGCGCCCATCCTCTGGCTCGCCAGGTGCTGGACAGCGACGATGCGATCAGGATGGCTGATATTTCGGGGCGCGATGCCACTAATCACCTTTCTCACCCTTGCCTTGGCATCACAGAGTCAGACTTCGTCTTCGGACTGCATCATCTTTGACCTCGAAGATAGGTGAGCGAGCGTAGCCATCGCCACCCACGCTGCCGGCGCGACCCGTCCAGCTGATGCCCCACACGTCGGCCCGCCGCCCTTTCCTTCCCCCTCAGCGTCGCCGCTCACCGAAAGGGACTGGCGAGAGAGACCGTGTTCCACGCCCTCGAGGCGGCTGCGCGGCCCGGTCCGGAGCTTGCCGTGCGCATCAACCCGCCCTCTGGAGACCAGACGCTCGCCGCAGACGACCTCGACGTGGTCCTCCCCGCCAGGCAGCTCGAGGTGCGTCCATGACTCTCTGGGCGGTCGCGGCGCCGGCGCCGGCGCCGTCACCGTCACCGTCACCGCGCATCCGTGACCACGGATCAACCGCGCTCACCACTGCTCCGCACGCACTTTTTGCCCCTACAGACCATCGTGGTGCCCAAGGTCGAGCACGAGGACGACATCCGCTTCATCATCGCCAAGGCCAGAGCACTGAGGCCCGCGCAGGAGTGAGTCGACATGCCGGCAGCGCGGCAGGGAGACTGACGCCTCGTCTGACGCGCCTGTCACCACCGGCCCTGCTCTCTGCACCGGCGACAGCTATCAGCCGCTCGACCTGGTGCTCTCAGTCGAAAGCGCCGCCTCACTGCTGCGGATGCCCGAGATCATCGAGGCCATCCGCAAAGAGACGCCCGCCGACTCCAGGCCATCCGCTGAGATCAGCGCCCTCGTCTTTGCAAGGTGAGCTAGCCTGATCCAGAGCCGGCCACGGCGTCGCGGCAATTGCCCTGCAGCCTCTTGCACCCAAGCTGAGCTGGCTCCTCCCACCATGCTCTTCTGCCATCAGCGAGGACTACTGCGCCTCGACCGGCATCATCCGCACCCGGAGCCGACGCGAGCTCCTCTTCCCGCGCGCCCACATGGCCACCATCGCAAAGGCGCACAACCTCGCCGCCATCGTACGTGTCTGCCCCTCGAGCGACGCCGAAACCAGGCACGTCCCCCCCGGACTGGAGCCACCGCTGACATCCCTTTCCGACCCTTGACCGCGGGCCTGCAGGACATGGTGTGCATCGACTACAAAGACATGGCCTACCTCGAAGAAGAGTGCGACGACGGCAAGGAGCTCGGCTACGACGGCAAGCAGGCCATCCACCCTGCCCAGGTCGAGCCAATCCAGCACAAGTTTGTGCCGAGCAAAGAGGGTGAGCGTGCAACCGAGCGGTCGTCGTCCAGGTCCGATTCCTGTGCGGCAAGGAGCGAGGGGGCCCTTCCGACTGACGTCCTGCTGTCGCGACCCTCACACAGCCATCCGGAGGGCCGCCAAGATCAAGCACCTGTACGAGCGCAGCGTCTCGGAGCACAGGGGCGCCTACGGGCTCCAGGAGGGCGATTCCCTGATCATGATTGACGCGTGAGTAGCATACGCTCCTGCCGCTTGCTGGTCCCGACATCGCCGCTCGTGACGTCGCTGACTCGTCTGGACCGCGTCTCCTGCCCGTCTTCCCGCCTGCCTTCCCTGTCGCATGCAGACCGATGCTGCTGCAGGCCGAGGCGACGCTCTCAAAGGCGCGAGCGGCCCGCCTGGCCATTCCGGACGTCTCCAAGGAAGATGATTGAGACCGAGACAGACTTGGCGACTTATCAGCGGTAATCAGTGCAGCAATTGCCACCTCGAATGGCCCGTACTGTAGCCCTTAGCGTGCCGGATAGCGGTGTGTGACCAGACAGCGCCGTTGGTTCTGTCTCTGTGCAGGGAGAGGCGGAGGTAGGGCTTGCCGGCGGGCGGCCAGGACGGATGGCGAGCGCGCTCAGTTCGAGCGTCGCACGTGGGCTCAAGGCCTGCCAGGTCCAGGCAGGCGCGCAGGCAGGCACGGCGGTGACGCGCTCGGCCAGTCTTGTGGGGCAGGGCAGCCCGTGCGCATGCAGGTCCGAGCAGGAAATCAAAGAGCTTCTTCGTTTGCTTCTCGTTCCCCGACTCTGGGCATTCCCTCCTCGTTGCCCCCTTTGCTCCCTGCCTGCCTGCTCATTCGCTCACACGACCACCACCACCACCGCCACCACCGCCACCACCACCACCACCGCCTTCACCTCGCCCTCCCGACGTCGGCTGATTCCGACCGTTGCGACTGCGACAGCTGCTCTGCCCCCGTCCCCGGTCGCCGAGCGATCCTTTGCGGCCCGACATGGAGCGGATCCAGCTGGGCGTGGCGGCCATGGACCGCAAGGCGCGGTCCAAGCCCATGCAGAACATCCTCAACCGCCTGATAAACACCAAGGAGTTTGACGTCACCATCTTTGGCGACAAGGTCATCCTCGACGAGCCCGTCGAGGACTGGCCCATTGTCGACGTCCTCATCTCGTTCTTCTCGACGGGCTTCCCGCTGGAAAAGGCCATCTCGTACGTCGACCTGCGCAAGCCGGTGCTGGTCAACGACCTGCGCCTCCAGCAGATCCTGTGGGACCGCCGTGCCGTGCTCGCCATCCTCGACAAGGCCGGCGTGCCCACGCCGCGCCGGATCGAGCTGGACCGCGACGGCGGGCCGACGATCGAGCCGCAGGTGGCCGAGGACCTGCAGAAGCGCCTCAACCTCGACCTCCATCACGACCGCGGCGCAAAGGAGAGCTTCCTGCGCGACTACGACACGCTCGTCATCGACGGCCGCGAGATCCGCAAGCCCTTCGTCGAGAAGCCCGTCAGCGGCGAGAACCACAACATCCACATCTACTTTGACCGGGCGCGCGGGGGCGGCGGGCGCCGCCTCTTCCGCAAGGTGGGCAACAAGTCGTCCGAATTCGACCCCAACCTCTTCGAGCCGCGCACCGACGGCTCCTACATCTACGAGGAATTCATGGACGTCGACAACGCCGAGGACATCAAGGTGTACACGATCGGCCCCTACTTTGTGCACGCCGAGACGCGCAAGTCGCCCGTCGTTGACGGCCTGGTCAAGCGCAACCCGGACGGCAAGGAGATCCGCTACATCACCAAGCTCAGCGACGACGAGGTGCGCATGGCCACGAGCATCTCCAAGGCGTTCAAGCAGAACATCTGCGGCTTCGACCTGCTGCGCGTCGGCGGCAAGAGCTACGTCATCGACGTCAACGGCTGGAGCTTTGTCAAGGGCAACGACTTCTACTATGACAAGTGCGCCGAGATCCTGGCCAAGTTCTGCAAGTCGAGCGTGCCGCGGCGGCCGCTGAGCAGCGCCGGCAGCGTGTCGCCGCGCGAGCGCGAGCGATCGGCCTGGACGCTCAAGGCCAACGTCACCGTCTTCCGCCACGGCGACCGGACGCCCAAGCAGAAGCTCAAGCGGTCGTTCAAGGTCAAGGACGCCTGGACGGCGCCGCTCATCGAGCTGCTCCAGGGCCGGCGCGAGGAAATCATCCTGCGCCAGCAGCTCGACCTAGTCTCGACGGCGGCCGAGCGCGCCATCGCGCTGCCGGGCGCCCAGAAAGAGGACCTGGAGCTCGTCATCGAGGTCATCAAGCGCAAAAAGGACATGCCGGGCACCAAGGTGCAGATGAAGCCCAGCTTCGCCAAGCAGACGGGCGAGCTGGAAAAGATGCAGCTCATCATCAAGTGGGGCGGCGAGTTTTCGCATGCGGCGCGCCACCAGGCAAAGGACTTTGGGCAGAATATGCGGCGCGACATCAACATCATGAACGACGCCGCCCTCGCCAACTGCACCATCTACACGAGCTCCGAGCGCCGCGTGACGGCGTCGGCCGAGATCTTTGCGGCCGCCTTCCTCGACGACGGCAAGTCGAGCGGCGACCGCGAGATGGTCATCCGAAAGGACCTGCTCGACGACAGCAACGCGGGCAAGGAGGTCATGGACGCCGTCAAGAAGAAGCTTAAGCGGTCGCTGCAGCCCGACGGGCCCGAGGCCGACGCGCGGCCCGACGACTGGCCCGACGAGCTGCCGCCTCCGTCGCGGCTGGCCAGCGAGATTGCCGGGCTGCTGCGCGGGCTGCGCCAGACGATGCGCGACAACTACCGCGCGCTCGACGTGGAGCGGATCCAGGCGCGGTGGTGCACCCACGAGACGCCGGCCTTGTTCCGCGAGCGGTGGGAGAAGCTGTTCAACGACTACGACGACGAGCCCCACGACCCTTCGCGCTCGAGCGAGCTGTACGACATGCTGTCGCACGACGGGCTGCACAATCGCGCCTTTATCGAGGCCATCTTTGCCGACCGCGCCGAGCCGGACGCCGCCAAGCGCCTCGAGCGCCTCCACGAGCTGTACAGCAAGGCCCTGGCCCTCTTCCAGTTTGTCTGCCCGCGCGAGTACGGCATCACGCCCGAGGAAAAGGAGGAGATTGGCTTCCTCACCTCGATGCCGCTGCTCAACAACGTCGTCGACGACCTGCGCGCCGCCCAGGACGCCAAGGGCCTCTGCTCGCTCTACTTTACAAAGGAGTCGCACATCCACACCTTGCTCAACCTCGTCCTCGCCTCGGACCTGCCCATAGTCATGCCGCGCATCCCGCCGCTCGACTACTTTGCCAGCATCACCTTTGAGGTCTACGAGCGCAACACGGCGGCGGCCGCGACGGCCGGCGGCGGCAGCAACGGCTCCGCGTCGTCGAACAGCTCGCTGCACAAGTCGCCCTCGACCAACTCGCTCTCGACGGCGGCGGCGACGACCACGGCGCAGCCATCGTCCTCGTCGCAGCAGCAGCAGCAGCAGCAGCAGCAGCAGCAACCTTCGCCTTCGGCAGCACCGACGCCGGCGCCGCAGTACGCGCTGCTGATCAGCGTGTCAGAGGGTGCGCACAGCTCCAACATCCTCTCGATCAACCTGGATGCGCGGCACGCGCTGACGCCGCTGCCGCGACGGCCGCTGACGACGTACGTCGACCTCGACGAGGCGCTGGCCAAGCTCTCTGCGCACTCGGCGCGCGAAAACTACGAGGCGGCCCAGCTTGAACGCGGACAGGTCGAGGGCGCCACCGTCTTCTTCGGTCTCGAGGACCCGGATCGACAGCTCATGCCCATCAAGCAGCGCAGGGAGAGCATCGATACCGACCGCGGATCCATCAAGCAGGCCTGAGCCGCCCGGGCCGACTGCCATCGCGGATCGGATCGGACCGCGCGTGTCAAGGATTTAGCATTTGATTGATTTCCACTGGCCAACACGGGCGCAGCTCAGCTCGGCACAGAAGCGACAGCAGGGATGGGGGGCGAGTTAGACGAACGGAGCGCAGCAGAGGGAGCGTGTGTGGCTTGTGCGCGTCTGAACGATGCACGCACGAAGTCGACCTCGACGGCAGCATCGGCGGCAACGGCGGGCAAACGAGCGAGCAAGCAAGCAAGAGTCAGGGGCTCAGGAAACGAGGTTCCAAGGGAACGCCGCACACCGTTAGTCCTTGGCCTTGTTCTGCAGCTTGTTGAAGTAGCCGGAGCCGTAGTTTTGCCTGCGGTGGCGGGAGCGGCACGGGAAGGGCACGGAGGGAGGCGGGGGAGGCAAGAGGGGCGTCAGAGGTCGTAAGCGGCGGCGGCGGCGATGCGGCGCGGTGCTCGGTGCGGGGGCGAGGCGGGGCGGATCGTGGACACTCACCACCAGATCGAGGCGTTGAGGTAGGTGGCGTACACCATCCAGCCTGCAGGCCGAGAGCAAAGGGCGAGGCAGAGGGGCAACGAGCGGTCAGGTCAGCGGGCGCCACTTGCACTTCGATGCGATGCAAGAGCCGCCGAGGCACGATTTTCGCTCGTCCTCGGCTTCCAACCGTCCTCCTGCAAAGCCGGCAAGGACGAGGGCCATGACGAGGGCGAAGACGAAGAGCGGCCTGCCTGGCTACGCGCCGCCACTCACCGACGTAGGGCAGGGCGAGGTAGCCGGCGTTGGTGTCGACCTCCTTGACGGTGTTGGCCCAGGCGACGACGGTGCCGGTGAGGGCCGAGATGTTGAGGAGGCCGAGTCCGACCTGGCCGGCGCCAAAGAAGATGGGGCTCCAGATGGCGTTGAGGCCGAGCTGGACCCAGTAGAGCTGCATGGCGCGCTTGGTGAGGTCGCGGCCAAAGCCGGGCGGGGTGCGGTCGAGGGCCTTTACGGTGAGGTGCGAGGCGTAGCCCATGGCGGCGTAGAGGGCGGGCCAGACGATGCCATAGTAGTTGTTGGGCGGGTTGAGCGAGGGCTTCTTGAGCGACTTGTACCACAGGCTGTCGGCGCTGTACTTGCCGCCCTTGGTGGCGAAGCCGTTGATGGCGCCAATGCCGATGGGCAAGCCGACGGCGAGGATCGGGTTGCGAGGCTGCGATCAAGATGGGAGGTCGAGGTGTTGGGGACGGTGCGAGGCGGGGCCAAGTCAGAACACGGGGGCCGCTGGGAAAGAGACAGAGGGAGAGGCTCGAGGGCCGACTTACAATGTCGATGAGGAGGGCGGGAAGGTTGGCCATCTTTGCGAGTGTCTGGGCGTGGGGATGGGGCGAGGGGATGGGTCGGTCGGTCGGTATAGAAGATGCGGATGGTGTCGGTGGTGGTGGTGGAGGGAGCCAGAAGGGCCGCGCGACCCCGAGGGCCTCGACCCCTTTTGTACCACCAGCCAGCCAGGCCGGGGGCAGCCGCCAAGGACGCGGCGGGGCGAGGCGAGGCGAGGCAGGAAGGCGATGGCTGGGGTGGCTTGCGACCGAAGTGGTCCGGGCTGGCGCGCGCGAGAGCAGCCCAGCGAGCGGGATTACAAATTCTACGCAGCAGCTGCACCCTCATTCCGCCAGAAGGGGGGGGCCGGGCCTGGACGAGACCCAGCTTGGGGGCGAAAGGCAGGAAGGAGGGCGGATGGACGGGTAGGGTGCGCGGCTGCCCGCCAGCAGCAGCGAAGCGGTGCGGTGCTGCTGCCGATGATGGCCTGGCCAGGGTCGCGCCTGGCATCTGCCCTGCCTGCCTGCACCACCGGGTTGGCACGTACGGGCTGGCCAGGGTCGGGCCTGGCCTGACGGGCAAGCAAGCAAGCCGAGGCAGTGGAGGCAGACTGGGCAGGCCGCGGCCCTGCGCGCGCCTGTTGGTCGATGTCATCGCGCCTGGCTGCCTGATCTGATCTGATCTGGCTGCGCTGCGCCCGTCGTAGACCCTGGCCTGCCTGTGGCCTGCCTGGCCTGCGCTTGGCCTGGCTGGCCTCTGCTAGCTGCGTCTCGGTTCCGCCGGTCCAAGGGTTGGAGCTCAAGCACGGACCAGCTCCCCTCTCTCGAGCTGGGTTGGCCCCACTCCCTCCCTACCTTTGGCCCTCGGAGCGGCCCCACCACCGGCCTGCTTTCCTCTTCTGCACCACCTTCAGACCCCACAACGTCGCCGCATACATCGTCCCTCGCTCGCTCTGTTACTCATCGCTCGGCCGCAGTCCCGGCTTTCCGCTTCCCGCCTGGCCCGGTCCGTACCGCACCGCTCTCTGGTCGGTTGTCGGTGCCTCGTGGTCCCTCCCTATCTGCCCCTTGTCCCTCGCAACTTTGACCGCGCTCCACCGCGCGAGCTCATCCGACACATCCGCTCCGCCTCCGCCGCTTTCGTCGCCTACAAGCCCCTTCCACGACATCCCATCGACTTGAGCATCTTTCAACGCGCCTTCCAGAGCGCCCTCGCTAGACGAGGCAGCTCCATCTCTGATCTGACCCACCTGCTCCTCCACCCCCCGTCCGAGCTCGCCACCCTGCTCCGAGCACGTCGGACACAAGCATCTCTCCGCTCGCTTCCATTTCGATCAACAGCATCGGCGCCTCGGAATGCCTTCCTCCAACGACACGCGCGGCGAGGTCGCCTCCTCAGGCTCGGCGGTCCTGGCCGAGCACTGCTTCTTCTGCTTCCAAGTCATCCTCGCCCAGCTCAACGGCGAGCCCGAACCGCACCCGCTGCCCTTCCCAGATGCGGGGCAAGAGTACCCGCTCTTTGTCACCTGGAACATCTACTCGACCCCCTTCACCAGCTCGCCGCGGCTGCGCGGCTGCATCGGCACGTTCGAGCCCTACCCGCTGGCAGAGGGCCTGTCCGAATACGCCTCGGTCAGCGCCTTCAAGGACCGCCGGTTCAACCCGATCTCGGCCAAGGAGGTCGCCCGCCTCGAATGCGGCGTGTCGCTGCTGACGGCCTTTGAAGAGTGCCAGGACCATCTCGACTGGGAGGTCGGCGTGCACGGCATCTATATCCACCTGCCCAACCCAGCCCTCGCTCCCGCCGCGGGCGATGACAGCGCATCCTCGTCGTCAGGCTCTTCGACCCCCGCTCCCACCGCCGCCGCCGCCGCTGCTGCTGCTGCTAAGAGGTCAGCGTCGTCGTCGAGCGCCCACATCCTCACGGCCACCTACCTGCCCGACGTGATCCCGGACCAGGGCTGGTCCAAGGTCGAGGCCATCGACAGCGCCATCCGCAAGGCCGGCTGGAACGGCAGGATCACCGACGCCACCCGCCGCAGCCTCCGCGTCCGGCGCTACCGCAGCGAGAAGATGGCAAAGACCTATCGCGATTTCGTCGCATGGCAGCAGCAGCAGCAGCAGCAGCGCCAGGCTTAGCCAGGTGGCTCTCGGCGCAGGCGACAAGCGGTACCACCCTGGCTCGCACCTCCCGGCAGCTAGGCAAGGCATGTCATCGGACGCACCGCCCGCCTCTCTTTCTTGACCGCGACATCCTCTTCATTTGTACAATATACAGCGCACTACGGCGCGGCGCACCGCACCGCATGATCCGATCCGGCCCCAGAGGCACCTTGCCCTTCGTCGCCGAGGACGGCCTGATATTCCGGCGCCCCCTTCGCTGGTGCTGTCCCGCCGGTGAGTCTGGCTGCTCTTCCGTCCTCATCGATCCAGGCTTTCCACTTCCTTGCTCGCTTGCCCACTTCAGTGACTGCCGGGGCAATCACACTGACAGACGGCGGCGTCTCACAGACTTCGGGCCAGAGGGTCGAGGTATCGTATTACGGCTTTTGATGCTCCGACGCGGAGCGAGTCGAGGCTGGTCGAACGGAGGGCCGCCCGGGGATGCCCCGTCGACGAAACGGGTTGCTGACTCGCCTAGGCGGTGGTCGAGGGGTCCTTGGTGAAGCGGAGGTAGGGCTTGACGGTCTCGTAGCCGGGGAAGAGCTTGTCGGCCTCCTCGCCCTGGACCGAGGGGTGGACAATGACCTTGTCGCCCTTCTGCCAGTTGACGGGCGTGGTGATGCGGTGCTTGTCGCCGAGCTGGAGCGAGTCGATGACGCGGAGGATCTCGTCAAAGTGGCGACCCGTCGAGGCCGGGTAGGAAATCTTGAGGCGGATGACCTTTTTGGGGTCAATGACGAAGACGTCGCGCACCGTCATGGGCATGCCCTTTGCGTCGACGTTGGTCGGGTCGAGGGCGTCGAGCATGTCGTACTCGGTGGCCACCTTGCGGTCCTTGTCGCCAATGATGGGGAAGTTGACCTGCGTCTTGCCCACCTCGTTGATGTCCTTGACCCAGGCGTCGTGCGAGGCGATGTCGTTGGCCGAGAGGCCTGCGCGCGGGCGAGCCGAGCAGAGGAGCGGGACGAGGCTAGGTCGTCAGCGTCACAGCCTGCAGGAGCCTACCGGGCCAGCCACCTTCCTTCGCCGGACGCGATCCGAGAGGCGAGCCCAGGAGCTGCGCCACATTTGCCGCCCTCGCTGCACACGCCTCGGCCTCCCTCAGTCCGCCTTGGCTGCTGCCACCGAAGCCACTCGTGCTTCCTCCACCGCTGCCCCGGGCCGTCACCGCCGCCACTCACCGATAACCTTGACGCCGCGCTTCTTGAACTCGGGCTCCTTGCGGGCAACCTCGCCGAGCTCAGTGGTGCAGACGGGGGTGAAGTCGTCGGGGTGCGAGAAGAGGATAGCCCACGAGCCGCCGAGCCACTCGTGGAAGTTGATGACACCCCTGCGGCAGGCGCGCAAGAGAGAGAGAGAGAGCGAGGGGGAAGACGCAGAGGGCGGAGTGCGCGGGTCAGCTGCTGTATCGTCGCGATTCGCTAGCGCCTGGATCGTCGGCCGGCCGCTCGTCGGCGTGTGGCGACTCGATGAAACGGCGCTCCTCGCCTCGCTCGCTGCGGGGTACTCACTGAGTGGTCTCGGCGGTGAAGTCGGGAGCAATGGATCCGAGGCGAAGTCCGGGCATCTTGGCAGCGGTCAGTCGATGGCGGGGGTGGTACGAAGGGGTAGCTGGCTGTGGTGACTCTGAGAGAGAGAGAGAGGAGAAGAGAGAGGGAGGCGAGATGGTGGTGGTGGCGAGAAGGAAGCAGCAAGAGCGACGGGTGGCCCCTCTTTTGAAGCCACAGGCGGCCGGGAGCGGCAGGACCACCCGAGGCGTCGTCCCCGCTGCATGCAGGCGGCCTGGCCTCGTTCGACGATCTTCGCGGCGAGCACGAGCGCGGCGCTGACAAGACGCACGAGCGGACAGGGCTAGCAGGCCGGGACGGTCCGGATGGCAGGCCAGGCCAGGCGAGGGCAGGCCGGGCGAGCCCAGTGGGGGGTCGGGAGGAAGAGCGGCCGCGGTCGAGCCACCCGTGCCCCGCCAAGCACGCGAGGGAGTCTCGCTGCTAAAAGGCCGGGTGGCGTGGCATGGCCCAGCGAGCGAGCGAGCGAGGGAGCGGGGCGGGCAGGCGGGGGCTGTTGTCGATGGCGTGCTTCTGGGCGCGGTTCACGCAACCGCGAGGCCGAGCAAGCAGCCAAAGTGGAGGGCGAGGAAGGGTTCCCCGATTGGCGCTGAGAGAGGCTGGGATGGCATCGGGCGA